ACACACACACACACACACACACACACACACACACACACACACACACAGAGATAGATCTATCTATCTATCTATCTATCTATCTATCTATCTATCTATCTATCTATCTATGATTCCACTTATCCATCCATCCATCCATCCATCCATCTATCTATCCATCCGTCTGTCCATCCATCCATCCATCCATCCATCCATCCATCCATCCATCCGTCTGTCCATCCATCAATCCATCCGTCCGTCCATCCATCCATCCATCCACCCACCCATCCATCTATATCAATGTTTTCAGATAACTCTGAAGCTTTCCTGTGATTTTGTACTATGGTCTGTTGTCCTTAACCCCTTTAGAGATACTGCTGGATTCTACTCTATCCTGAGCTGCTGATGCCGTATCACAGACTTTCCTCAGGGCTTCCTCCTTGTCAGAGGCAGCCTCATCCAGTCTCAAGGTAATAAGTGTCACTTCCAACATGGTGACCCCCACGCTTCCCTTTCTCTCTGGTGTTTCCACTGGAGATTATTGCATTGCTAATTTCCCAAGTAAGTTTCATCATTTCTCATTGGGGTGACTATGATCCCACCCAGTTTCTCTTTCGAATTAACTTGTGGCGTTTGACCTTGACTTGGGTTCACATGGGGGAGGTTTTCAAAATGGCTGCTATTCCTTTATGCAGCCCAGGTTGGACGCTATGGCTCTGATTACTCAAACCAAGCTTGTTTTCTTGGGATTTGGAGTGCTGATGCAAGCTGCTTTCTATTTATTATCAAAGTGGGCATTTTGTTTTGCCCTCCATTAGGCTGCAAAGGTATGAAAAATATACAAATATTTTTGCTCAGCCACAGAGGAGTCTGAAGAACAGCACATAATTTATTTCCATTAAGTATGCCTCAGCTGGAAATGAAGCCAGCTCATCTCCTGGAAAACAGTTCAGAAACCCTCCACCTGGGATGTTGAAAGTATCATCATGTGATTAACATCCCTGTAACATTTTTATTCTTTTAGCCCAAATCAGTAACTAATAATATGAGTGTAGTTATTGTGAATTGGATATGGTATATTTCACTTTTTTTTATTTGTAATGTAATTTGGAATAGAAAAAAAAACCACCATGAATATGGGGGATTAATATCTACTGAATATAATTTAATGTATTTTCCAAGCTCTGGTCTCCCATTATTTCTTCTGGGGAAAAAAAGTGTAACATACTTATTATTTTTTTGGTGTTAAATGGGTACATAAATTCAGGTCACAAGAATGCAGTAATGAAACTGTCAGAATTGTCACCCATATAGTCCCCGTAGGATCAAAACAGAAGCCAGGAGTAGGCAGTTTACCTCTTACAACAACCTGGGGTGGAACCTGGGAGCCACTGGGTGGAGAAAGAAAAGGAAATACTTAAAATGAGGAGATCTGAGGAGATCTGCAAGTCACTGAGAACCTAAAAGGGGAACTAGATGTGCAGAAACTACAGACTCTCAGGGTCTGCAAGTCACCGAGAACTTAAGTTACAGAGTTTACTACAGCCATGGAGGCAATACATTATAAAGATAAACTGGCTCACTACAGTCCCCTGGCAGGTAGTGACCTCTTCTCTCGGTGGGCTACATATAAAGGTCCCCGCAGGTTATGATGAAACCAAGAAAAACCATATGCCACTTTTTATTTGAGGATCTTGGGGATTACAAGACCTAAATCCTTTGAGTCTCTAAGCTAATTTCCCTCTCCCTCCACCCCCACCCCTGCTAAGGTTTAATATATGGGACAGAAATTTAGCAACTTAAAGCAAGTTTTCGGTTCTTACATTAGAGCTGAAAACAAACTGGGAAAGAAGGAAACAGTACAAAGGCTGTCACTGTGTCTGTCGGATCTCCTGAAGGGAGAAGAATCACTCCAGTGGTGAGGCAAGGGGAAGGGGGAGCCACAGCTTCTGGGAGCTTTAGTCTGATGGTAAGAACCTCTTGCATTTAATCTCTCTGTTCTAAACTTGCTCTCTTCTTGAAAGCAGTTTCAGAATTTACATGGGATTCACAGTGATGTTTATTCATATTAGTCAAAAAGTGGGAGTAGCCCAGATCCGGACAGACAGATGGACAGACAGATGAATGGAGAAGCACCATGTGATATAGACAGGCAAAGGAACATTATACAGCCATAAAGAGGAAGGTCGTTCCATGGATGAGCCCTGCAGACACTACTCTAAGCAAAGCAAGCCATACAGCTTATGCCACTTGGATGAGACAACGATATTAGGCCAGTTCACAAAGCAGAGGGCAAGGGCCTCAGGGAAGCAGCTGCTGTCTGATGGCTACAAAGTTTCTGTTTGGGAGCAAGAGAATGTTCTAGAAATCAACGCAAGGATGGATTTGCAGTACTGTGGATATACTTAACTTTTATCCCACACCCAAAGATGGTCAATTTCATGTCTGTACTTCACCAGAAAAGAAAAATAACTGGGGATGGAGAAGATGGCTCAGTTGGTAAGAACGCTGGCTGCTCTTCCAGAGGACCTGGGTTCAATTCCCAGCACCCACATTACAGCTCCCAACATTCTGTTCACTCCAGTTCCAGGGGATCTGACACCTCACACAGGCCTATAAGATACTAATGCACATAAAAATATAATAAATCATTTAAAAGCTTTAAAAATAAAGAAAAAAGGAAAGAACAGGAGAGCCCATAAGGTGTAAATGCAAGGTTTAGAAGTGAACAGCAATCGGGGATAAAAACATTCGAGATAAAAGAGAGACTCCAAAAACGACGACAAATTAGATCATGCAATGCAAATGTATGACGCACTACAGTACACATAGATCAGAAAGAAAAGAGTCACTGTTGGCGTTCTGCAGTAGCTGCAAATTCATCTGCGCCAAGGCCTCAGCCCTACAATGGATGCCTAGATGTCTCCTGGTGGGCTGCACAGAAGGCTTGTGTGGATAGCCCACAGGAGCTCAGCTCCGCTACGAACAGCCCACCTACTCTCCCGAGTACAGTTAGCACGGCTGAATCTGTGGCTGCTGCCAACACACCGATTAACATGTGCTTCTGGTTTGGCAATTCATGGTCCTTCAGCCATGCTGGACATAAAGATGGATCTTTTATTCTCTGCACGGGAAGCGTCAGGAAAATCAGCTCTTCGTTTGTATTTCTTCTAAGCTGGGTTTTGTTCCTATAATCGGAGACCTCATGCGGTTAGGTAAAGCGGCTCGAGCCCAATCTTGGTCATGCGTGCAAAGCTCCCAAGGTGAGCTTATGTTCCCTTCCTAGCACTTCAGGGCTCTCAACTCAGCCTCTCAGCATCACAGTACCACAGGGTGACAGACAGCTCTACGAACATTCATGCAAAAGATGCCACAAAGCTTTGAGCAAGTTGAGGAAAAGTCCAAATGGCCAGTGTCCCCTCATACTGGTTCTTCAGGGGCACACTTTGCTAAAATGGTCATCTGCCAGGATTCAAATATGAAACCACAAGACAGAAATTTCTCCTTAGGCATGAAGGCATGAAAAGGAAACTTCCGGTGGCCACACACCACACACAGGAAGGAACTCTAAAAGCAGCGAGCATGTATGTCTGTGTTCCAGAACCCATTACCAGTCTTCTCAAGGCACCTTTGGGGAATGTTTTTGTGCACTGTGCGTTCAAATGCCGATTTCTGGACCCAGAAGGCTGGTTGCAGTCCAGACTTTGTTGCGACTCAGTATTTTGTGAAACATTGTTCTTCATTACCTCCTGATTGGTCAAACAAAGAACAGAGTAGCCTACAGCTGGGCAGGAGAGCAATGGGTGGGACTTTCATGCCAGAGAGATGGGGCTCAGGTGGCATCCGGAGAGTTGACAATGAAGGAGGTGCTTCAAGCAAGACAAAGATGTCGGGTAACGGGCCATGTGCCTGGGAAGTGGTCTAAGGCCAGCACCATTGGGTTAGAATAGCTCAGAATCTGCCCAGCTATGGTTCTAGAAGCTTATTGATGAATATAAAGGTCTCTGTGTCATTATTGGGGGGCAAGGGGTGGACACAGTAAAGCCCGTACTTTTATATGGTACGCTTAGTGGTATGCTACTATCCAAAGCAAGGCGTGGATCAGTTAGTTGTGTGTGTGTGTGAGTGAAAGGGAAAGAGAAAGCAGAGGTGTGTGCTAATACAGTTCGGAGGATCTCAGCCTCACCCAAGTCACTCAGCTTTCCCAGGTAAGAGCTAAACACACCTCTGTGACCAGCTGTGAATTCCCGTGAGCAAATCCCTTGCTTTCTCCTGTTAAACAGCAGCACTTAAAATAAGCTGCAGTTTTTTTTTTTTTTTTTTTTTTTGTGTTTTCGAGACAGGGTTTCTCTGTGTAGCCCTGGCAGCCCTGGGACTCACTCTATAGACCAGGCTGGCCTCGAACTCAGAAATCTGCCTGTCTCTGCCTCCCAAG